ATGATTGACATTAGGCTCCTGCGCAAACTTATTAGGTGCAAGAACCTCTTCTGGAAATGAGGAATTAACTTCATTATCATCAAGTGGCGCAGAAGAATCTTCAAGACCATTAGACAAGCCAACAGAATGTTCATGATCACACATCGGAGCCTGCTGATCTCCAAGCATCTCAGGATCTACAGTACCCAACCTACGAATATCCATGACAACATCAAGAGGTCGACTAGTCATACCAAAAGACCCATACGTACCATCGTTATTTTCAGCTACAAAACGGAACTGCCACTCATTAAATTTGACATACCGAGACACATAAACTCGGCCATCTGCCCCAAGACACAAAACACCTCTATGTTGAGGACTCACACCTAGAAATGTACACAGATGCGATCTGAACTCCAATTTATGACGATTAAAAGGACATAGATATGGGAAACATCTGCACCCAAATACTCTGAGCAAAGCATAGTCTGGTTTCTTATGAAACAACAATTCAAACAGAGACATTCCTTGCAAGACTCGAGTTGGCAGCCTGTTAATAAGATAAATTGCCATTACTGTAGCATAACCCCAAAATTTAATAGGCATATATGCTTGAGCAAGAAGTATGATAGCAAGTTCAATGACATGCCTATGTTTTCTTTTAACGACTCCATTTTGCTCAGACGTGTGTGGGCAAGTTAACCGATGCGAAATATCAGCTGTTAGAAGCACACGAGACAGGTTGCGAAACTATCCTCCCCAATTGCTCTGCACAGCTTGTATTTTCGAATCAAATTGTGTAGAGACGAGCTGCTGAAATAGTTAAAATGCATGAACTGCCTGTGACTTATCATTTAGCAAGTACAACCACGTGTGACGTGTGCACGCATCTACAAAGGTCACATAGTACTTGTATCCATTTGAAACCACATGTGACGGTCCCCATAAATCAGTATAAATTAATTGAAATGGAACAGAATAGACTGTATTTGAATCAGTAAAAAGGGAGCCTATGGCTTTTGCCCATGTGACAATCAACACATTGTTCATTGAATTTCTTATCAACAACTACATGAAGTGATTTGCAGACTTGTTCTAGGGTCCCATGTGCAGGATGCCCTAGATGCCTATGCCATAGTTCATACAATTTATTTGAAGTAAGAACATAATAAGCTACTGCCTGACTATGACTCGCAGCATCAACATCCACTTGAAAGAAGTAGAGACCACCTCGTTCTTCACCTTGCAACAAAATCTCACCAGACCATTCATCACGAACACAACAACTTGTAGCTCGAAACTCAAAGTAAACACCGTTGTCCCTAGCAAGCTTAGACACCAATAACAAATTCTTTGTAATCTTAGGCACATGCAATAAGTCGCTTAACATAAACGCTTGAGAATTAGAACATAAAGCAGATTTACCAGTAGCATGTATCGAAAGAGGTACACCATTGCCAACTAGTAATTTACCTGGACAAAAAAAATCAGATTTGAGATCAATGGTTGATGCATCCAGAGTCACATGGTGTAACGCACCCGAGTCAACCACCCAGGAGTCACGATGTGCAGCATGAGCTTCAGCCTATCGTTTTATGTAGCAGGAACACGCATCACCGTCTACTTGCAAAGCTTTAACACTTGAGTAATTAACACGACCAGTGTTGTTTCCAACAGAACCACGACCAGAACTCTTACCTGAAAAATTCTGATCAAACCAATGCCAACAATCAACCACAATGTGGCCATTCTTGCCACATAACTGACATTGAACCTTGGGCCTGCCACGACCTCATCCTCGAGAAGCATAGCCAGAGTCATTGCGATAATCAGTCTGATTGTAAGAGCTCACATTACTAGACTTGGAGTTATTACTCATATTGGTGACATGCGCACTCATAGGAAATTGATCATCTCGAGCATCAAACCCAGCAATCTGAGTTTCGGCATCAATCAACAATGAACATACCTTATCAAGAGACAGTGAGTCTTTCATTGTAGTAATGAAAGAAACATATGGTTGATACTTCCTCAAGAGACCCTTTAAGATACTCGCAACTTGTTCTGCAGTGGAGATGACACTATCACACGATGCCAACGCATCACAAACTTCCTTGATCCGGATCAAGTATGTCCGCATGTTGTCATCTCTTTTCCTGAGTGACTGAAGCTTATAATGGAGGTTGATGACTGCCGTGGTGGAGCGGTTTGCAAAGAACTGCAGGACCTTGTTCCAAACAGCCACCGTAGTCTCTGTCCCAACAAATTGAGAGAGCAGATACGAGTTGATCGTTGACAGTAGCCACGATGCCAACGCACTATCTTGTGCGACAAAGTCATCATACAATTCATTTGGAACCGATTCACCATTTGCACAAGCTATAAAGGCAGGCGGAGGCTGCAACGAACCAGTCAGCAACTGCTCAAGCCGATGACTACGAACAGTCAACAAAACTTGCTGCTTCCAGAGTAAGAAATTTGATTCATCAAGAATGAAATTCACCTTCTTGTGAGCGAAGGTCTTGGCAGCCAACGAATCCATCTCCTCCAGCAACTGAAGTAGCAAATCGAAGCACCTCAAGAACAGACGGCGAATGATACCATGATGGATTACTGGTTTAGAAAAGCTAACATCAAGAATAAAGAAGTAAATCCATGCATTTCATTGAGGGCTTAATACACTTTTATATACTTGTTATCTAACAAACTCATGACAGCTCAGTTAACAAACTCAACAGAAAGCTATGTGTTCACACACACACTCACATCACTCAACAACCTCACATACATCATAACCACTCAGCCACCATTCTAGCTTCATTCACACTCAACCTTATTTGCTAACAAAAAAAATATTGTAGTCTTCGGATTACCAACTTTATGCCCAGACATAGTACAAAAGTCATGTAATACCACCTTAATAAGATCCACATGTTTATCTGAGGCTTCAACAAATAAAATCATGTCATCGGCAAAAAAAACAAATGAGATATACATGGGCTCGTTTTAGAAGTTCGAAAAGGCTTCCATCTCCCTTGACTTATCTCCACTTGAATTGCTTGCACAAAGCGCTCCATGCAAAGGACAAATAGGTACGGAGATAACGGATCCCCTTGATGGATACCCCAAGAAGGTCTGAAAGTGTTCGTTGGGGACCCGTTCAAAGAATTTGAGATGAGACAGAGGTAACACATTTCATATTAATGGAGCACAAATAGTCTAGAATCTTAAGATCGATCAAAGTATCCTCGATAAACTCCCACTCAAGTCTATCGTAAGCTTTCTCCAAATCAATCTTGATAACCATCCATCCACGACTCCCTGACTTTGTGTTCATCGAATGAATAACATCCTGAGAGATAATAATGTTATTAGTCGACGTTATTAGTAATTGACCTACAATGAACAAAAATTGTTAGATTCTCTGACACCCAATCATGAAGCAGCGGTTTTAATCTTTCCATAATTACCTTAGTTATCGTCTTATAGACCACATTACATAGACTGGTCGGTCTAAATTGAGAGTAATAAAATTAGTGACTTCTTAAAAAGAAACTACTTATTTTTTTTGCTCGGCAATAATAATTATTTATTAATAAAAAATGACTTAACCTTGGATATAAGCCTCTTTAAAGTCCTCTCTAATCCTAGGTGGAAGAAAAAACAGAGCTTCAAATCCGACTAAACAAAACACCACAATAATCAGTGTTTTGAAAATCGGACCGGACCGGCCGGTTCAACCGGGAACCGTTTTCTGGTCCGGTTCATTCTACCCCGGTTAAACCGCTACTAGTGAACCGCTGAACCGGCTGTGAACCGTTCGAACCGGTCTGTTCGAACCGGACCGGACCATGAACTGGTTCAACCTAAATGTTTTTAGTTTTTTATTAAATGTTTTTGGTATTTTTATTTAATTTTTTAAATAATTATGACGTCGTCCGGTTGAACCAGTGAACCGGTAGCACGGCCGGTTGAACCAGTGAACCGGTAGCACGGCCGGTTCGCTGACCGGTCCGGTTCTAAAAACCATGACAATAATACCTCACTTTTAACCCAGCTACAAGACTACCAAAAACAATATAGATCCAGCAAACTTTCAACATCGACGCACCAGCGCTATATAGTTCCAACAAACAATAAAACAAAATCCTAACTACTAAACTAACAAACACAGCAGAAAAAATCACAGAAAGAGCCAGATCCCCAGACGCTTACCACCAAGCTTTGAACCACTATCTTCTATGCATACCTTCGATTGCCAACTGAGTGAATAAGCCATTTCTTCTTCAGATAATCAGACCCGTAACCCAGCATTAGCCAACAAAACAATCCGAAACCAGCCAACTTACACCAACCTTCCATAAACATCTTCCAAAAAGGATGATCTGAGCCCATCCGCCATTTATATAAATTTTAGCATATCCAACATTTATATGTTGCTTTTATAGATTTTGATATGTCATTATATTTATACATGTCTGTGGTTTTTTCCCACAGTTAACTATAATTAATCATAATAAAATTATTTAATTTTTTACATACTAAAAATTACATTTGAGCACCTTGAATACTCTGCGAGAAAGTATGAGTTTTTTTTTTAATTTTAAATATAATTAAAATTTAAAAAATATGATTTCTCTTATAATCAAGGATGGATAGGGGCAAGTGACTATCACCCTTAAAAATTTTAAATTATTATATATTTTAAATAACTTTTTATATTTTTATGAAAATTTCATTTTCGTCCCTTAAAATTTTATTAATACAATTACTTTTAAAATTTTATAAATTACGATTGAATTTTCTTATAATCGGATAATAAATTTCCCGTCATTGTAGAGCTGGAAAACCTACTCCGCCGGTTAAAAGAGTTATGTAATCTTCCAAAATAGAAGGAAAATTAACAGAAAATCAATATACATAATTGTCTCACTCAAAAAGATAATATCTACATTTTTGAACCCCAACAACATCAATCAATTCATAAAACTCATGCTTGTTGAAGCCATCGAACTGTTTTATGGCACAGACGATCCAAGACTAAGCTGTAAATCAATACCTAATCCATTAGGCCCACCATCATCTTCCCTGAACCGCCTGTCCACCGGAAAAACTCCAGTATAATCCCGGACGTCACCGGAAAACGCAGCTGCCATGCTTTCCCTTCCTTCTCCCCTATATAAACGCGGTCCTTGCGCAGAAGCAGGCCCACAAAGGTACGTACCGCCATGCAACAAACGCAACGGGGCTTCTCCTCCCCCATGTGACATGTAAAATGAAGAATGATACTGCGGCGGTGCAGCAGCTGCTGGTACCATGGCCGCGGTGAAGATGTGTGGCGGAGGTGTAAAAGCCGATATCATGGAATTCCGAGTAGCAGCTTGCATTTGAGCACGCTTTAGTAGCTTCCTTTCCTTCTTGTGAGCATTTTGGTGACCTCCTAGGGCTTGAGAGTTAGCAAAGTCCCGGAAACAGTACTGGCACTCGTATCTACGGCCATCCATTTCGAGTTCAGGTGACCCTTCTGGAGGCTTGGTCGAATCGTCGGCGGCGGTGCTTTCGACGATGTTGAAGCCGAAGAGCTTCAAGGGTTTCGGGTGGAAATCAAGATCAGCCATAACCAAAGAAAAAAATAGAAAGTAGAAAAGTCTAAACTTACAAGTCAAATTGTGGTTGGAAGGTGGGTTTCATGAGCTAAAACTATATAAGAGAAGTTTACTTAAGAAGGAATGAAGATGGGCAAGAAAAAGGAGAGGGTTGGTTGTGAAAATAATCCTCAAGAAATAGCTAAAGCAAAGCAAGATTTGTCCATGAAAAATGGCCCAAGAGAAAAAAAAATTACCTCGGTACCTTACTAAAATAAGTAATTAATCGAAGACATCTAAAATTTTCAGCTAGGCATTCATCCGCTCTCAGAAAGCTATAGATTCGTCTTTGGTCATCTCTCTTCTCGAATCCATTAAGTGAATCAATAATAAAAGAAAATATTATTTTCTTTAGAAAATTTGAATTAGAACAGTCACATTTGTCTTTTATATACATTATTAATTGTTTAAAAAAATCTAAACATATAATAACTTATAATTAACTCAATACTATTATTAGAAAAATAAATAAATTTCTTATCTCACATGAAAAACTCCATGATGCACGTTTAATCACTATGTTCTTCAAGTTGGATTACTTGGTCTCATGTAAATGTGTTAGGTTGGAAACAATAGAGATGTTAATTAAAATATTACTTGAGATTTTAAGCTATGATATATATATAATCTTAGTTTGATACTAAGATTTACCCTTACCAAAAGATTTAACGTTAATGGAAGGAAGTATAGTGGCGGCACAGGCATGGGCCATGGTGACGCAGAGTGTTGTGATTATAATCACAACATGTTTGCGTGATTGACGTAGAAATCGAAGGGCCTTTTTTAATGAAGGCAAGATCTTCACGAATCTTACTATCCACCACAATTTATGGGCATTTCTCTCTCCATTGTTCATAACCACCTCACTTTCAGCCACTTTTAGCCATCCTTACCATTAATTATTGTACTTCTCTCCATTAGTCATAATCTTGCTTCCCGAACTTCATATCACTATATAAATTTTAATATCATTATATCAACTGATCGTTAGTGATGACACATTACATAAAATGTCACATTACCCTATGCACTAATTAAATAGTTTATTTTTAATAAATTAACCTTTTCTTTCGTTAAAATTTTGGTGTTGCATGTGAAAGGAATGTGCATTGTTTCAACTTGATTGATGCTGCATGCTACGATGACGGAAAGCGGTATACAAAAACCCCCCACTTCATTAAGAAATGTATTAAAAAGTCATAGCCACATCTAACTGTCATCAACAAACAATGTTAACTTCTATTTATAGATCAAGTCCACCGAATTCTCACTCAACATTGATTACATTCATTGTCTCTTTGGACTTATCCTATGGCATTCAAATTTATTATTTATTACTCTAAATTTAAATATTAATATAATTTGTCCTCGCATTATAAACGAGGCAAATTGGTTTAGGATAATCAATCATTTGATTTAGGGATTAAATTTATTTTAATTTATTAAAATTAGGACCAGATTGATAGAATATATAAGTAACAATGACCAAATGTGTAATTATACTAAATATTTTAATTGTCACATTAGCTTCTCCGTTAAATATTAACGGCAAATGGCTTAATTGAATGCATTTAAATAGTTAAGTTCCCCTTATTGACAAAATTTTAAAATGAGGGTTAAAATAAAAAGGGGCAATAGTTAGGTGGTCACTGGTATGATTTACCTTTATTTTAAATATTTTATTTTTAAATTTTTAACTAATTAATAATTATACTTTGAGTACTTTAGAATTTTAAATTTTTATAAATTAAATTAATGATATTTATTGTTAGTAGTGCCCATCAGTACTCGTCGATCACTGTAAAATTTTTCCATAAATATAATATTTTTATTAACAAATTTAAACTCTTTCTCATTTCATGGGAATTAACACCTATTCGGTAAACAATATAAAATAAATTATTAAAAACCGATTGAAAAACATAAAGAAATCAAAATAAAAATCCAATTAGAAACTAGATTTTTTATGATTTCTTATATTTAATCTATTGATATCAATAAATTTAAATTAAATATTATTAAATGTTATTATAAAGACAATACTCATAATCTTATTTATTTTAACAACGTGAATATTGGAAATATTAAACTTATTTTTTAACTAAACTGAGGTGATTATAAGGTAGTATTTTTTCTAGAAATTCTAAAATATTTTACAGTAAATGTTTAGATACCTTTACTGACGTTGATGCTCAAATTCTAAACTTTTAAAGAAAATAATCATCCCTCCTACCACTAAAATTATCAACTAAGGTTTACTAAAAAACCAAGTGACGTTGCATTTTGGTTTGTACATCCCATCAACACATTCTTCGGGTATCTGTTAATCTGTAATGATCATCAGTGGTCGTGTGAACGAGGCCCTCAGATATAAGAAAACCTAAACTTCTCCTGTCGAACCCAGAAAGAAACCAGATCTAGCATGGTTAATTAATGAGCAATCGGTGAAAGAGACAGACCTGAGTTTATCATACGACACATCTAGCTATCCAGGCACGACATTAGACCTTAGCAATGCTTGTCTAGCACACAAATTAACCAAACATCACTCCAAAGATTAAAATAAGGAAAAAAGAGAGTGCAAGTACTTTACCCACACAATGCTTTTCAAAGCAAATAGTCAAATACAACCCAACAAAAAAAAAACTTGTTGAGAAATTTCACACGCTTAAGAATCTCACCATGATTGGTAAGGATTCTTAGACTATCATCTTGGTACATTTTCTTAACATCCATCTTTGAAGTTGTCAGCAACAATCCTAGAAGATTACTTATTCTAAAGACAGTCAACAACTTATAAATAGAAGTATTTCTTTTCCTGCCAAAACGGTGTCTTCATTTTATTCTTCACTGTCAAGTTTATTTGCTTGTCGATTCATCTGTGACTTATAAACAGCCGTGTATAACACCCTTGATTTTAGTGGATATCATAGGAAACTCACATACATGTTGGCCGATGCAAGAATTGTATCACCCTTGAACTCAGGGATGGACCGAGGAGACGGTTGCTTCTTTTAAAATTTTAAATTATTATATATTTTTTTATATTCTTATTTATAATTTGTTTTCGGTCTTTAAAATTTTATAAATCCACCCCTAATATAAAACTACACGTCCGCCCCTTAAACTAACACCAGTCACCACGGATCTGTTATTGATATGCAAGTAGTTGCTAACAATAAAAACATGAACATTTACGTTCAAATGACCCGGAATCATTTTGTAAACCAGTGCATCAACTCTTACCTTCAACTTGGTGCTGTACATATGAACATATATTGACGTATACACTCAACGAAATGGTTTGCAATCTCATTGAAATCATTAACAGGCCTGAAAGCAACACCAATGTTTAAAGTGACAGTTCTAACTTCTTCACTGAAAACTTTGTCAAGAACATCGTAAACATTAAATTTCATTCGGGCCTATTCACCAGGCCCAAAAACAAAATCAAACAAACCCAAACCCAAGGATAATTCTAACCCTAAACTAAACCCGGATTAAATCCAAACTAGGCACAATCCAAATTAAACTCGAACAATACCAAATGCAAATATGCCCAAGTCACTAGCCGAAATTGCGTTGCAGGTCGTCCGACCCAGGCCTACTCTCTCCAACCTGTTAGTATTCTAGTCGGGTTTAGGGTTTAGGGTTAGGTTAGATCTGATTTTCCTTAGATTAGAGCCAAACTTCACATAGTGAACCATGAAAGCCCACCTTGATTAGAGCATTTTCTGAACCTTTAGTTATTACCTAATTAAGTACACACGATAAACGCTCTTAACCTTTATTTATATTTTCTCGTATTTATACTCATGCTACTAACTAACTATATTAGATTGCCCTTTTATCTTTCAAGCATATGAAAGTAGAAATATATGTGGGTAAGATTTATCTTTGAAGCATGTGAAAGTAGTAAAACGTGTGGTAGGATTTAACTTTTAATCATGTGACGGTAGTAAAACATGCGACTACGATATGTCTTTCATCAGTTTGATAATTACTGATAAACATTATTTTATGTATTCACGTATTAACTTGTTCTTTGTTTTGTTGTCTTCTGTTCTGTTTACCCTGCATATAGCATTCTGCATTTCACGTAGTAGAGACGTTTATTTATCATTCTGCATGTACTTTGTAAAACCTGACACTTTATATGACTTCTCTTTTAACCATGCTTGCTATTTAGGCTATGCTGTTGATCATTATCACAGGAGTTGGTACATATTCTTCCACGTCCTAAATGGGCTATCCTAAAAAAACAAGGAGATGGATGGATTGGAGATGCAAGAACCTCGGATGTTGAAGATGAAGGCATGCTTCTTAGTTGGAAAACACTTCCATCTTCTTGAGTTCTATAGTGGAAGTTAAATGAGAGGAAAGGGATCAGGACAAAACCTCGTTAAAACATTAGGGACCAAAAGTTCATTTATAAAAGAATACATTTTATATAGAAAAAACTTGAGTTAGCAAGCCTCAATTATATGATAAAGTGTGTCAAATTGCGAGACATGGATAGGGATGTTTAGAAGGATGGGTGACCTGGATATTTCTACTGTTGAAAATTTTAAATTCTCGTATATTTTAAAGATAAATTATATGTTTAGTAATTAAACTATCAATTTTGGCCTGTTTTAATACCTATACTTGCAAAAATTTCAAAACCAGACCTAATGTTTAATTTTTGTTTCATTTTAGTATCTCGCCGTTAAAAATTTAACGACATTGCATTTTTATGGGTAAATTACATCATTTATTACTCAACTATATTCTCACTCCTATTTTGATACTAAAGTTTAAAAGTTTTCAATTTAACTATTCAACTTTCAAATTGATCATATTTTAATCACTCTACTTTATTTTATTAATAATTTTTGTGACATGACATTTTCTTAATATTTTTAATTAATATATAATTAAAAAAAACTAAATTTAAAAGTTAGAGTGATTAAATTAGGAGCAATATGAAAGTTAAGTAATTAAATTAAAAAAATAAACTTTAGTGATCAAAATAGGAGTGAGAAGAAAGTTGAGAGATGAATGATGCAATTCACTCATAAAAAAGTTGCCACCTGCAAATTGCCAGTTAAGTTTTTAACGACGGGGTACTAAAACGAAACAAAAACTAAACGTTAGGGAAGGTTTTGAAAAATTGAAAGTTTATGTACTAGAACAGACCAAAACTGATAATTTAAGTGCTAAATATGTAGTTTACCCTATTTTTAAATTTCTGATAATCTATTTTTATCCTTTTTCTAGATTTTATAAATTTCACATCTCTTAAATTCTTTTAAATACGTCCTCTAGTCTAAAATTCTACGTATGTCCCATACATAGATTTTCAAAGATTAAAGGCTGCTTCAGCAGAAAAGCATCATAATCAAAGGCCTGGGAATCGCAGAATTTTCCAATCAACTCTTTGGTTGAGATTTAAGCTGGAATATATCGCTTTCTGATCTTTTATTGCTTTCTCCGGGTTAATGCTTCCAACATTGAACCATTTCCATCCCCTCGTAATTTCATTTTCAATACGCATATGTTAGTTCATGTGTGTCTCGGGATGGATGCAATGACAGATCTAGAAATATTTTTTTCAGAGTGGGTAATATATTAATAACTAAAAATTTTCGTATAAGGTGGGCATAAATAAAATTTTAGGGCCGGCACATTTAATATAGTAAAATGAACAACTAACATAAATAAATTCGGATTCCAAAATGAACACAAATAAAATTTTAAGATGAATACTTCTAATAAAATAAACAATTAACATAAATAAATTCGAGTTTCATGATGAACGTTTGTTCACCTTAGATTCAACATACATCCTCCAATGATGGATGGCCATGCATCATGTGGAATTGGATATTTACATATATTTAACTTATTTATTCATGTTTCCAAAAAAAAAACTTATTTATTCAGATTTGAATAATGCTCGAATTTGAATATCCTAATTATTATTTGTAGTTGCGATTATTAATCCTCCTATATTCGTTGTTCAAATTCGCCATACTTTTTTTTATCGATAATGAGCTCATATAATGAATATTCAAATCTATTTTATTTTTGTGAAAAAACAAATATAGACATACATTATCTACTTTATTTTTTAAAATCTTTTAATTTAAATAATCATTAAACATGAATATTTAGCGGATTTAAAAATTATATAGATAATTTTATCTGCTCAACTTTGAATTGTGATAATAATATCAAATTTAATATGGACAATAAATAGATTCAAATCTTATAAAAGATTTATTATCTACATTTTACATAAATTATAAATATTTGGCATGCTATCATTTCTAGGTTATATATCCTTTTGATAAATAAAAAGAAAATGATTAAATTCTTACAAAGTCTTATGCTAAGCTAAACTAAAACTCAGTTGACACATATTTATAATTGTAGCTCTATGTTTAAGTTAATTTTTTATGTTATGGAAAAATAAAGTTAATTTAATTGATAGTTGAAAAGTTAACATCAATATTAAAATGAAGGTGTGAGATCAAAAAATATTAAAAAAACTAACATTTTAGGTTGCGCTCAACCAAAAATATAATATTTTTATATCATTTTTTGTTGTGTCCCTTCCATGTCGTTCCTTAACCTTAAATTAAATTGTCATTCCTTAGAAATTCCCACTTATCTTGGATAAAGGATTTTTTTAATTTTGGATATTAAATTTATTAACTTAAATATTATGGATCCAGTCAAATATAAAATTTAAAAAGTAATATTGATTGAGCTCATTAAGTTGCATAAATTGTTAAAGATTTCGATCTAAAAATTTTGGGTTTAAGCGGTTGCGTTTGCAAGTGCGTGCACGATGTCTGTAACCAAGAAAAAATTTAAATAAATTCTACCTTGTAATCACCGTAGACTACTAAAAAAATTATGATCAAAATGAATTTTAGGTGTAAATATATATTGATTCATTTGGTTAAAGCTTTAATACATTGATATTAAGAAGTTGAATTTTAAAAGGCATATATTCTTAAAGATTCAAGTTTAGCCACAATTTTAGACATAACAACAAAATGTTATGGCTCAAACTGCTAAAAAATATAAAGACTAAAGTGATTATTTAATGAGACGTTAGAGGACCTTTTGGCCCTAAACTAAAATGTTAGGGGACGAAATACTAAAAAAAACAAAGTCAAAATGATATTTAAATAAATGTTAAGAGTATTTTTGTCATTATACCATAATTTTCATTTCTAATTTCAATTGTTGAATTTAATTTTTTTTTAAAAATAAAAATAATAAAATTCAATCCTACTAGATTCCTTATCTATACATAAACTGATACAATCCAAATGACTTGAACTGGAAGATGGTAATTCATGTATATTTCTCGTTGGAAAAAAGAATTCTGCAAATCTTACACACAGAACAATTTCCTTCAGTCTTACTAAGTATTCACATGAACCAGCCAAGAGGAACATTGTCCCCCACCAATTTAAGCTACCCGGTCTCTCTTTGGCCCTAACAATTGTTAGCCAATGAATCTGACAAATAACTTTGATTGATTGTTTCGAATCCTAAGATCACATGCAAAAGTGTTTTTTAACAAGTGCATGAATCCCACAATCTACATATATATATAACATTCAAATTCTAATAAAATTGTGTTCAAAATGGCCTCTGAAGATACATGAACATGTCCTGCAAAGGTGACAACTGCTCCATCTGGTACTGGACTTGGCTCGCAAACGGGTTATCTTCCATGTAATTGAACCCGAAATCAATGCCATTTTTGCTTAGCTGAAGCTCCTTCCACTTCGGTTGGCTCTGTACCTCTTTCTCCCACGCGACTTCAGGGGACAGCACCTGCCCCGACGAACTCGAATCCGTATGCAACCTTGGGACTGAATCCGAAGCATCCGTTTGTCTGAGATCGTCGTGCATCATCGACATCGATGAAGGTTGTTGTTGCTGTTGCTGGGATAGCGGTGTCATGTTTTGACCCTGCATTAAGATGTTGGGTTTCTGATCTTCCATTTCTGGGTAACTCGACCATTCTTGTTCACTCGGGGAAAGCTTCTCGATGCTTCCTTTCTTGTTGTATATTCGACATAGTACCCAATCATCAAGCTGCAATTAAGCAAACCACTGTTAGGAAAAATCTGCAAATGAACAGCTAAAAGTTTGGACTTTGTTGGTCAATTAAGATGGCGTTAGGTAAGAAGTCATAGGCCAAGTTGGCAACTTTCATGTGAAAAAGTAGAGTATAAAATGCTGGTTTTGACCCTTGAAACAAAAGCATGGTAAAAAGTGAAAAAAAGATTTGAGAGAATTTACCCTCAAGTTGTTGCTCTTTCTGCCGGCGGACCTATCAACATTAGCGAGGCGGTATTCGTGCATGATCCAATTGGTTTTGACACCGTGTGGGGCTTTGCCAGCGTAGAAAACGAGTGCCTTTTTGATCCCCAATGTTTTGGGCTTACCAATCGGCTTGTCCGCTCCCGTCGCCTTCCAGTATCCCGTTCCGGCCGCCCGGTTTGGCCGACTTCTGTTCGGGTATTTTCTATCCCTTGGTGAGAAGAAATACCATTCTTTTTCACCGTACAACGCCATATCTATAAAAGAAATAGAAACCAAAATCAATTAATCAATGCCTCAAATCAACCCGATTTCAATTCGGAAAAAAATATAAATCAAACAGAAACTAAAACTAATAAATCGCCCAAAAAGTTGCTGCGTTTATCCCAAATTACAAACAAAAAAATGAAACAACAAATGCTCTTATACTGAAATCAATCAATGGAATCCCGAGAAAATATGAATCGAATCCCAGATGCTAAACCCTGTAAAACCAGGAAAGAAAAAAGAAAAGGTACCTAGAAGCTGCCATGGATCAAACTTGTAGAGATCGACCTCAGCAATAATTGGGACAGCGATAGGCTGAGATGCGTATTTCTTACACAAATAGTGATTCACCAACTCATCATCAGTAGGATGAAATCTGAAACCCGGAGGCAACTCCAATTCTCCCTTCATTCTCTACCTTGTTTCTCTCTGTGTTGTTCTTCACTAACTTCTCTTCAGAAAAAAAATGAATTTTTTTTTAATTTCTCCACGTTGTTGCTTGTAGCTTTTGTGGTTTGAAACAAAGAGAGTGAGTGAGGGGAAAGGTTTTATAGGGAAAAAAAGACACGTGCGGGGTGCTTCTGAGAAACCCAAAACGTGGGTTTAAAAAGCAGCGTGCGACCGTTTTTTTCCGTCGCTGACCGCCGCCCCTTAAATAGTAAAAAGGGAGGGGACACGTGGGGGCGTTAACTCTATGGGTTTTAAGGTTTGATTATGTCATGGCTTCCGTCACTCCCTTTGGATGTTTCCTCAAGTGGTACTCCAACTGGACAGAATTCAATTAGATATGGAGAGGGAGCTTCTGAGTTGTTCATAAAATCAAATTCCGACCTTGATAGATTTAACAGCAGGCTTCTTCAAGAGCTTCAACTGGGCTTTGTTGAGAGCATAGCTACGTGCATGGTCAGCAATGGCAGTTGGGATTGTGCATGCATGTTGTGCAAGTTAGCTAGTAGTTGGTTAAGATTAGTTAGGGATGTTAGAAGTTTGTTATGAGTTTGTTAAAGTAGCTATGTAAGTCTTTCTTGTATAAATGCACTGGTGTAGTTCTTGTTGGTAAAATAGACTGCAAAATCACACCGTTAGCATTAACAGGAAAGATAAACAGTAATTGAAAAAGAACAGATTCGTAAACCGTGTTGTGTTATAACCACTGTCTTAGAAACGAATTCACCCCGATGTGTGTAATCGTTGCAGTAGGCGGACTGGCCCCCGAGGTTAACACGGTCGCTCTGAATTTCGTACACCCGAAACCGGAGTGGACTGCTGATGGTATTACACTTCTGATCGGAAAGCACACAGAGAGAACTTTAGAAAACACTTGGAGAGTGAATTCTGAAATGTTGAGAGTGAGTTAAGAAGCTGAATTCAACTATCTATTTATAGGCTAGAAATAGGGTTAAAATCGTCCATATAAAAAATCAGGATTAAAAACATTCTTTGTAACAGCTGAAACGTTTATATGAACTTGACTAAAAAACAGTCCAGGTTCATTACATCATTATTCAGCTGTTATAACTCCTGATAGTAACTCCTGTAACTCTTGATATTAACAACTTGTCCCCTTTGTACAAAGCTGGAAATCAGTCCAGATACATCTTAACGTTTTTATTTAATTTAGAAAAAGTTGTTTAATTTCTGATAACTCTCACTATTATCATTTGAATTTAAACAATCCTCAGTAGCCTATAAATATCAGTTGAAATCTTTCACACATTTTTCCATTTGTTTCTTTCAAAGAGAAATTCCTCAAAAATTTTCTCTAAAAAGATAGTATCCGTACGGACGGGTTGAAGACACGTATTACCATGACCACGACCACAAGCCGAGCCGTGCCGTGTCATGCCGAGCCAAGACGAGACGAGATGGACGGGGGCAGCGGCGGTGCGCGAGAGTCCCCCTTGTTCTCTTTCACTTAACAAGGAAGTGGGAAATCCAAACCATAAATATCCATTCCCAATAGTATTTTCAATACTATCTGAGATAGACCATTACCAACATTCCCCCACTAATGCGAAAGAATTCTTCTGAAACTCGAAAACAAACTTTCCAGAAGAGCAATAACGAGATTAGTTGCTTAAGCACTAGTGAACGTATTTGGAACTAGTACATAGTGATGATGAGCAATCCTTCTCTTAGATAAGTGAAACTTCTTGTTTCCTGGTACCTACGTATAAATCACTTACACGCTAAGTCATAGACTTAGTGAGGCAATAAATAAACATGTAGTTATAGATTCATGAATATGTGTTCTTACCATTTGATCATGACATTTCAATATGCATGTATATATTTCACTATAACCGATATAATCATGTCATGTACATATGAAACTTATTTTCTTGTATCACTTTCACCTTACTTTATCTTTTAATTTCCCATGTACATTATTGAGAATAGAGGTATTTGAGTACATTGAGGTTGTGCACTAATGTTTTCACCACAGCTCAATAAATTCCCTCATGGGGCACCGAACATTTGTTCAGTATTTGTCCCGAAGGACCACTAGGTCCCAAAGGACCACTATGTCCCGAAGGACCACTAGATACGTCCCGAAGGACCACTGGATACATCCCGAAGGACCACTGGATACATCCCGAAGGACCACTAGATATGTCCCAAAGGACCACTGAATACGTCGAGCACCTCAACTCTTGGCATGCCAACTATACCTATAGCTCTCGTATCATATAACATGGGCTTTAATATGAATACATTTCTCATTTCATATCTCTTTCATCACTTTTCATATAAACCCATAATCTTTTCCATTATTTCACATACCTGGATTATATTCTCTGGCAATGATATTCGTTCATTCAATGTCATATGAACATATAATGAATTATGCATGCAATCACTATTACAATAGTATCTGTATGCATATACATGGGTATGGAATCATAATTCAACTATAAGAGATAAACTTATCACAAGTCTTGTCTCTCTACACTTTAACTATAAAATACACTCACCTTAGCCTTGCTTTGATTCGATTCTAATCCTTCGATTGTTCTAGAATAAGATTATGCTCTAAATCTACATAATAATACATTGATACTTATCAGCATACGAATTGATATATTTCAAACTATTAATCCTTTGGCTAAAAAAAAGCTATTTCCATCTCTTATTGAAGGTATGCATCGATGCACTACACCATGTATTGATGCATCCCTTGACGGGTGCATCGATGCACTACCCATGCATCGGTGCATAAATCCTATTCAATGTTTGTATTTTAAGCAAGTGCATCGATACACTCCTTATGCATCGATGCATTAATTTCATTCGATGTTCATTTAATTTAAATGAGTGCATCCATACACTCCATGTGCATCGATGCACCTTCAATAAATTCTGGGATTTTCTCTTGATGCATCGGTACACTTTGAATGTGCACCGATGCACTCTGCCCAGAATTCATTTCTTGAACCCGAATACTTATCCATTTCAGCTTAAATCTTTCATGTTTCATCCCCTTTTATATTCTTAACTCCAGTACACATACGTAAACCAATCTATACTCATTTATTTCATCTTAAACCTCAGAATCCTATCCTCCTTGTGAAATCCAAGAATTATACCAACTTTGCAACATGATTTAATTCCACTTCTAACCCTTAATATGTCTTAACTAGATTGATGACAAGTCAAATTTAACTTCCAATTCTATATATGAACTCTATTCCAAAATTTCATTCAAGAACCTCTAATCTTTAATCTCTTCTAACTCCATCATCCTTTGATTTTAAGATAACCTAAGCTTTCCTAAAGCTTAGTTATCATCTAATAATCAAAACCCAATCATAAATTTAACAAGAAACTCAATAATCAGAAAACTCACCTTTATTTTCCTTTATACGTACAAGGAAGAAAGAAGAAGAAAAGAACTCTGGAAGCTTTTATGTTCTCCCCTCTTCAACCCTCGTGGATATATATATAACCCTTCTTTTCTTATTCCATTCGAAATGACCTATTTGCCCTTCTATTCCTTCTTCCTTTCAATTCAAATCCATACAATAATTTACAAATAAATCTTTATACTATTCAATCATTATATTTTTAATCACCAAATTATGAGACTTAACAATTTAGTCACTAACCCGATATTGAGGATGTTACAAATCTCCCCCTTAAGAAAATTCATCCTCGAATTTTCATTACGCAAAGAGATAGGGGTACTTAATCCTCATGTCCTCTTCACGCTCCCATGTTGCTTCCTCTACTTTGTGATTTCTCCACAAGACTTTAACCAAAGGAATAGTCTTGTTTCTTAGTTGTTTTACCACATGAGCTAGTATTTGAATAGGTTCCTCTTCATAAGTCAAATTTTGTTGAACCTCGATCTCTTCAGTATTCACGATATAAGATGGATCAGATCGATACTTCTGAAGCATTGAGATATGAAAGACATTGTGTATCTTTTCCATTTCAGATGGCAAAGCTAGCTGATAGGCTACTAGACCTACTCTCTTAATAATCTCATAGGGTCCAATGAACCGAGGACTCAATTTTCCTTTACATCTAAATATCATAACCTTCTTTCAAGGAGAAACTTTAAGAAACACTTTGTCTCCAACTTGATATTCATAATCATTTAGCTCTTCATTCTTAAATTGTTGCAATTTCTTCAAAC